ACGTGACTAAATAAACATAAAAATATAGAGGATTGTATTGTTTCAATACCAATTAGTTAATTATATGTACTTTTAACGTAAATTAGTTAAGGTATAAGCATGACTTACAGTAATTTGTAAATAAACACACGTATTCGCAGACTTCAAGGACAGAAAACGGACACAGGGACATGAAAACGGGAGCCTTATACAAAAACCTGAAAACAGAAAAACAAATTTTTTTATACTAAAATTAACAATCTAAAAATATCAATAGGTATAAAATATAAATATACTGTTTAAAAAAGCGTCCATTATTCCCAAAGAGACCTGGCTTATAAATCAAAAAGAAGCAAAAAGAGACTTTTAGTCGGATAACATAATCAGATTATCAGTCCGATTTATTGCATTATTGACAATAAATCGCACATATTGGAGATAAATGATGTTGGCTATAGTTAAAAATGATCTTACCTTGCTGTAAATTGTTTCCATTTTCAAAAAAATCGCCGATCAAAGAGATTATAACACCATTTTCTTGCATCTAAAAAATGTAAAAACAGTGTTTATTTACTACCTATTTTTCATATACATGGGACATACCTACTACGGCAGAAACGTCATTTTCTCCAGGATTCTTCATGTAATATATATTTTATATACTTTATTACCTTTATAATTATAAATTTCAGCCGAAATATTAAATTGAACTTCCAAAACGAAACTAAACGGAATGAATTAAAATGGCGTCGAATATTTTCGACACAATTTTCGAATTTGTTCTAGAACAAATCTGAAGTTGCTCTGAAACTGAAATCTGTCAATTATAAACTGTGAAGTTAGACAATAGTTAGACAAAAACAATGCTGTCCTTGTCTAGGCGGCCATACTTGTCGTGAGGAGAATGACAGGAATGACACTAATGACTGTTTCCAATTTTCCTATTTCACTGTCACCCCCCTGTTTGCTTATTCAATTTATTTGAATTGAATTCACTCAGAGGGGATTCGTTCGAGTGAACGAGAACAATCGAGCGTTTGGTCAAAATCTACAGAAATATTTTATTCTGTAAACTTTGCGTATGATTGATTGATTTACAATTTGCAAAAAAAAAACTGAGACCGCCAATGAATTAACGGAGGTTTAAAAAAATATTAGGGCACTAGATTATATTAGTTTATTAATATTAGTAACGCATGATCGAATAAAAACGGCGTCAGCGATGGCTATCAAATGAAGATCGCTGTCATTTTATATGTAAAATTATATGGGAAGTGTCATCGATCGCCATTTCATAGCCATCGCTGACGCCGTTTTTATTCGATCATACGGTATTTATAATTCAAATTAAAGAATATAGCATAGCTAAGGAGGAGCAAATGACACTAATATTTTGTCCGAGCACTCTGCTTCTATTATCGCCGCTGTTTTAAGAAAAAATGAGATCATTGTAGCACAGATTAGGTATCCTATAAGTATACAGATAAAAATCATGTCCCTAATTCGTGGTACGAAAATTGTTTTTTATGACGATGTGCGAGTAAAATTTCCTGTGTGCAAAAATAAACTAGCGTAAAATAACAATAAACAGCGTAATAAATAGAGAGATATCGCTAAACCGAATAGCGTGCATGGACGTTAATAAGGCCAGGGGCGCTATTCTGTACAATCGCCGGTATCGGTAAATTACCGACAGCTATCGGTACGTATTTGTACATAGTAAACATGTGTTGATTGTTGTTGTCATAGTTATCGATCGGCCTTTGACAGATATCGCAAATTTGTACCGACTAGGATCGGTATCTCTATCGTGTGCTCTTGTTAACCCCACGGTAGAGATACTGATAGTCGTCGGTACAAACTTGCTATATGTCCTCTTAATGAGAGGTCAAAACTATGACAACAACAATTAACACGTCGATCATTGGCCGTACGTACCTATAGCTGTCGGTAACTTACCGATACCGATGATTTTACAGAATAGCGCCCCAGGTGTTATTTCCTTTACGTGAGGTGGTATTAACTCTCTTCATTTATAGTTATCGGATCGGAAAGAATTCTGATCGCGTCGTACAGTGGGGTATTTGACACCGATAGTTGATCGTAATTTTTTTTATGTAGACCTTATATAAATTATTGCCATTTTCAATTAAAGAGGAAATAATATGAACTAAATAAAGGATAATCGATTCTAAAAAAAAAAAGAAAGAAAAATCACTGTGCCAGTGTTTCCACGGTCAATACCACTACTGCCAGTAGTAATATCGCAACTAATACTACTAAAGCTACGACTGATCCGCGACCAATTCCCATATCACTAATGCCGTTACTAATGCTAAATTGTGCTATACTGCTACTGGCACTAATGCGAACGCCTTGTACACAACAATGTCATCGCGATTTACACCTTGCATTAGTATATCACTGATTTGCAAATTAGAGGAAACCAAGAATGTTTTTCTCATTTTATCAGCAAAGTCGTAAAAAGTCGCAGTATTTTATTTTACTGTATGAAAGCCCAATGTTTACTAAGTAAAACGTATATAGATAATATGCTGAATTCTTCGAAATGCGCAACTAAATCTCTAGGTATAAAAAAAATGTCACAAATTTAATCAAATTTTCTGAACGCCCAACTTTTAGTTGCAAAAAAATCGTTAGTATAGTGAGTATCAAAATAAATAATATGTTTTTGTAGAATACATATCTGCAGCTTGCTGAGCCATATTCAATCAAAACAATAATATAAACGTAAAAGGAGCACAAGAACAACAATAATATAATTTTTAACATAAAATTTCGCCATTTACCTCTTATCTCTGAGAAGTGACAACTATGACGTTTCGTTGAAACAATTAAATGCAACTAAACACACCCATAGGAACGCCATTCATGGCAGACATGATTTAACTTGTCATTTATCTCTTTTTGGGAAATCTTAAACACATTTGCTTTTTCGAATTTTGATCACCTTTTTCATGCTAAAACCTCACCGTGCGTCGCGTCGCTATTTAAACTTAACCTAACTTGGAATTTAAAACTTTGAAATTGTTTTGTTTACTAGGTATTTTAAAACTAAAGGGCTAAAGTGCTTATTTCCAGTGCTTTATTGTTCAACGTCTGCCAGTGGGTTTAGGGCAACAAGCAACAAATTCTCTTAGAAGGGCTAAGTCGTCATCTGCTGTAAACCAGACTCTTTATAGGTTCTTTAGTATTGGAAGAGGTGGAATCCATATTTTGGGCCATATTTATTTAATTAAAACTAATCCCAGCTACTTAAATATCAAATTACCTAATAAAACTAAAGCAATAATTCAAAACAATTCAAACATAACCTAAAATAAAAGATCTCGCCGGCCGGCTCCGGTTGTCAAATACCCGCACATGCCCATTTAAGCAATTTTTAAACGTTATCAGAGGTTATTTAGAAAAAGCGCTTGGTGTAATTGATCCGCAAATTACGTCAGGCGGTAACGTTATTACCGGGTGTTGCGTTAAAAATTGACTCGCGCATATCGTAACCATGATAAGGTACGCGTAAATACTGGATGATGCTATTCGGTTTTCCGATATCTCTCTAATAACTGTGCCGGTCAGGCGCTGTGCACAATCTTAGAGGCTATAAGTAGGCGTGCTATGTGCGCAAACTAGTCACCTAACTAGTGCCCGATTCCGAAATTTGGAACCACGAAAAACAATAAAGAAAAAACAAAGATTATAATCTGTATAATCTGTGTTTGTAGTCATAACTGTCTTTCATCTGATGAAATTGGCTGCTTGAAAAATTGAAACTTTTGAACTCTGCTACTCTGGCTAAGATATAGCCAAAAACCTCAACGGACCCACGAAGGAATTCAAAATATCTGGATAGATTACTAGAAATGTGTGATGATATAAATGATGGAATTCTCCAAATGTTTGACCATTTTGATTCAATTAATGCAGTCCTTTTATTTTCACTCAAAAATATTCGAGCTAAACGTGTTTTATTAAGTTAATAAAAATGTATGCATCAAAGTACATATCTTCCTAGATAAGCCAGCTAAACTAAAAACGCTTACATAAAAAGCTTGTTAATATGCACAAAAAACCGTGGGCCTCTTAACACAAGTGATGCTCGTCGCGTATTATATTATAGGTGTTGATTCTAATAAATATTAAGAATAGGATATAGTTTGTAAATAGCTCTTGATTTTAATACTGCGATCATTTGCATTATTGATCCATAACGCTCTCTAGTATAATTCCTACTTACAAACTGATCTGATAGATGGCGCCAGTAGCAACATCTTACCGAGGAGAATGTACAACGTCACTTGAAGTTCCAAAAACGAGAAATGTTCGGCATCGCTTCTCGGCCTTTTGGCTAAGATCAAAGTGTAGTATCTGTTCTTATCAGCTTAATATCTGATACGCCCCGCATGCGGGGCCAGTATATTAAACTGATTTTTGGAAATTGACGGAGGTTAGGGGCTTGCTCCACCTCTGTCACGGGTTGGCCTGGTATTGCAGTACCGCCAGGATCGGCCCACTTTTAACTGAATTAAAAATAGAGTTGGGGGCGGTACGGGAGGATCGTTATTGAAATTTTGCAGCTGTTGTATATCTGTGATAAATTTTAGCACATTTTTTAGTAATTCCCTATCATTTTCTAAAATTCTCATTGTTTTAACAATTCTGTTGTGAATCACTTTAATTAAGAGAATTTGTAAAGTTGCATGGCGATACGGACAATCGTTATTTATTGAAGTTTCTAGAGAATATTCTCTCAGATTGTGGCTGTTCTAATATCTGTGATAATTTTTTTCAATTTTGCCATTTTTTGGGTCCTTATTAGTAATTCAGTATCATTTTTTATTAAATATCATAATGTTTAACAATTTTATTGAAATATATGGGAATATGTTTCCAAAATCCAATTTTGTACAGGTATCTCTCACAATGTAAATTAGTAATGAAGAAAATGGTTCAGTTACGAAAGATGAACTAGAGTTAAAAAGAAATAAAAGTTTAACAACTTACTTAATAAACTAAATATAAAACAGTAATTCTATTAATATAATAACATCAGTAAAATTATTCATTACTATCCAAAAGATTTACGGCTATAAACTCGGTTTGATTTGCTGAATATTTCCGTTTCTTTGATGCTTTTTTTGCTGATATTTGTCTCCTTTTAACTATCATTTTGAGCTTTGCAAGGCCATCTTCAGACGCCTTCGTGCTGGTCCCACTACTTGGTGCATCTGCCAAAATTGGCGAAATAGGGGCCATAGTCTTTTTGATCAGTTCTAGTTGGGAGATCGATTTTAAATTACCAAAACATCTCAAAGATGTTTGTTCTGTTTGCTCGTTCTCTTCTTCAAAAGAATCGAATGCTATTTCCTTTTTGAGCTGCACTTCATACCTTTTTCCATCTTCGATGACGATCAAGGGACTTTTAGATGGTTCTTCCATTTCGTTAGTGGATTCTGTAACACAAAAAAATATTTTGTATCATACGGGATGAACGGGTGTCTCATATATCAGCTATCACTAAGGTAGAATGTGACATATTACTTTTGGTTAATGCATGTGAAGTTAGAAAGGGTTCAAGCGTAAAAAAAGAAGTGTCGCAAAAGGATAATTGCGAGTTATAGCGATTTTTAATATTTATTCTTTGATACTAAACAATGTAAATTATATCTATCAAAACTATATCAAAGTATTAGTATGAACAAATATTTTTAATCAAATAGCGATTGACTAAGTAATAGTTTTTGAAATATTTCAAAGATATAAGAAAATGTTGGTCAACTACATCGTTTTCCTGGATAAGGAAAGCGAAACCTGGGTGCCGTACCGCCGACACATGAACGCATTAAACAAGTTGCAACAGAGACATCTTAGACAACTCTTAAGAATAAAATGGTTCCATCATGTCTCAAACGTATTGTTGCGGGCCGGTGTGGACTCGACCTAACCTCACAATATGGCCCGCCCTCGGATGACCTTAACATCGCATAGACACCGCAATGATTCATTCGTTCGAGAAGAATCGAGTCCCACTGGAATGGACGAGTACATACGAGAACATTCGAAAACCTTCTCTACGCACCTAACGATCTATGGACAATTCTAGAGTTCTTTACCTGTCGGTATAAAAGCCGGCGGCGGTGGCCTACAGGGGGCAGTTATAAATATACAGTTGACGCGCTAAAATTCAAAATAACTTCTTAGTTATAAATCGTTTGTAAATAGTTCTATAAGTCTTTTATCGTTATTATTTTTGTTAATTAGTGTTAAATAAATAGTGTTTAAATAAATTGTGACTTTCTATCCACACGGAACCGAGGAAAAACGTAACAATTGGTGTCAGATGTGGCGTGTGTGATAAGAAAAATAAAAAAACTAACAATGGCTCCGAAGAAATTGTTGAAAGACTTGAAAGTGTCCGAACTGAAATCCATATTGGAAGAGAGAGAGTGCGAGACAGATGGAAAGAAAAGTATTTTGCAAACCAGACTGAGAGACGTTTTGATTGAGGAAGGTGAGGATCCTGACACATTTTGCTTTGAGCTGGAAGGTGACCTTGACTCGTCCTTACAAAAATTAGAAGACAGTTTGAATGATAAAATGACAGAGAATTCTCAAAAATTAGACGACAACTTGAACAATTTGAATAGTAAAATAACTAACTTTGAAGTTAATTTAGAAGATAAGATCGCAGAAAATTCTAAAGACATACAGGCCAGCTTCAATAATAAAATATTGAATTTAGAACAAAGTTTATACAACAAGATAACAGAAAACTCCAGGGAATTAGAAGAAAAGATAATAGATACACAAGACAAAATAGCACAGATTGAGGACGACGTTAACAGAAAAATCGAAATTTTAAAAGAAGAAATAGCGAAGTCAAATTCACCAAAATGTCAAGAAACATCGGAGGGACCGAAACTAGTCGAAAATAGGTATGCTTCAAAATCAGTTATGAAACCTCCACAGTTTGACGGAAAAACCGCTTGGGCCAATTATTTTTGCCAGTTTGAGGCCGCTGCGAGAGCGAACGGATGGATAACCGCTGAAAAGGCTACCGCTTTGACTGTCGCACTGCGAGGAGATGCGACTGATATTCTGCAGACATTGTCACCATCGGAACAGGGAGATTATCAGCAATTGGTACGACATTTAGAAATGAGGTACGGCCAAGCTCATTTGGAACATGTCATTCCCAGCTAAAAAATCGCATTCAAAAGTCAAATGAGTCTCTGCAGGAGTTTGAAGCCGACGTAGCCCGCCTCGTTCGCCTTGCGTACCCTGCTACGCCAGAGAATGTTATGGAGCGGTTGGCAGTACAGGCATTCTCCGACGACTTACGTGACAACGAGACAAGACAAGCACTTCTCCTAGCCCACCCAACGCACTTGGTGGATGCTTTAGCACGTGCCCTAGAATTTGAGGCCGCGAAACAAAGTTCTCGGTCTTTAGGAAGAGTACGGGCCATCGACGAATGTTCTGACGAATCCGTGGAAGGGATTATTCGGAAGATAATGGACCAGTACATGGGCAAGAGGACCGATTCGTTGCTGGAACTGCGGACAGGTGGGACACGTGCGAAGCCGTTGTAAGGAGAAGAACGAAGAACCGGCTTCGTCGAGGTCGGAAAACTACTAAGGGTCGAAATGAAGGGGCACACGTCGACCTGTACCCAACATGCCCCAACGAAAACTGCTCAAGTCGCCTCGCTACAACACAAATTCAACAGCATTTTTGTGGATGGTTTTGTTGATGGAGAGTTCCGGACCATGCTGTTGGATACAGGTGCGACGAGAACTATCATCAGACCGGACATTCTTAAAACATCGAAGAAGGTTAAAACAACACAATGGCGACTACGTACTGCTACGGGGGGCTCCGCTGCTGCCCATGGAGAAGTAAACCTTAATTTTGTTATTGGGAGCACCAGTTTTGAACATCCAGTATTAGTAGCAGGTATCGAAGATGAACTTATTCTCGGAATGGACATTATGACCACTAAAGGTTTTGAACTAAACTTCAAACAGGGAATTTTGAAAATAAATGAAGAAGAAGTGGTTCTACATCGAAAATGTGAGGAGACGCTTCGCGTGGTGGTAGCAGAAGATGTTTCGATCCCTGAGCGTTGTGAGATATTTTTGGATGGTTGCCTGGAAGGTAAAATGAATAATGGGAGTATTATTCTGTTGGAGCCAAGGAACCATGACAGCGAAATAGGACGAGGGATCGCTGTGGAAAAGCCCTGCTACGAGCGAAGAAGACTGTACCGGTGAGAGTAATGAACACGAATTATTATTCTGTATCCTTGAAGAAGGGAACCCTGTTAGGGTACTGTTGTTCGGTCTCCTCAGTCATTCGAAGCGTGGAAGCCTCCAAAGTTTCGACTTCAAAAATTCCGGACAAAATGGTGAAGGAGTTAGTAAACGTTAAGGGATTATCTCCCGAAAATAGTAGAAAATTGAGAAACCTGATAATCAAGTATCAAGATGTGTTTGATAAAGGAGAAGCAGGACAGAGAGGTCGTACCAATTTAGTACAACATAAAATTGATACAGGAGATGCGCGACCAATCAAACAAAATCCGAGAAGACTTCCGCTCGCCAAACGTGAAGAAGCTGATAAAATCCTTCGAGAAATGAAAGAAGAAGATGTCATCGAACCATCTAACAGCCCGTGGACATCGCCGGTAGTACTAGTAAAGAAGAAAGACGGTACCACCAGATTCTGTGTTGATTATCGGCAGCTCAATAATGTTACCAAGAAGGATAGTTATCCCCTGCCGAGGATAGACGATACTCTAGACACGCTGGCGGGGTTAACGATATTCTCTACGTTAGATCTGAAAAGTGGATATTGGCAAGTCGACATGGCGCCGAAAGATAGAGAGAAGACAGCGTTCTCGGTGGGCTCCGGACTGTGGCAATTTACCGTCATGCCTTTTGGATTGTGCAACGCGCCAGCTACCTTTGAGAGACTAATGGAGTCTGTGTTAAAGGGACTATCCTGGACTACCTGTTTAGTGTACCTGGATGACATCATAGTGGTGGGGAAATCCTTTGACCATCATCTGAAGAATTTGGAAGAAGTTTTCAAGCGACTAGGGAGTTCTGGTTTGAAACTTAGCCCCAAGAAATGTCATCTGTGTCAAGAAAAGGTACACTACTTGGGCCATGTAGTCTCCTCCCAAGGAGTTGCGGTAGATCCACAGAAGACCAAGAAGTGGAAGAGTGGCCGATACCTAAAGATAAACATGAACTACGAAGCTTTTTGGGACTATGCACATACTATCGACGCTATGTACAGGGTTTCGCCACCATCGCAAAACCATTGACCAGACTTACCGAAGGCGAGAGGCGTTTCTCTTGGGACTCAGATTCTGACGAGGCATTCCGAAAATTGAAGAAGGCCCTGACTAGTGCGCCCATACTTAGCTACCCTCTTGGCAACGGAAACTTTATATTGGATACCGACGCTAGCAATGTTGCATTAGGCGCTGTTCTGTCTCAGATCCAGGATGGTCAAGAAAAAGTCATTGGTTATTTTAGTAAGACCTTGTCAAAACCGGAAAGGAACTACTGTGTAACCAGACGAGAATTACTAGCAGTAGTTAAAGCAGTGGAACACTTCTACAAGTATCTCTATGGAAGAAAGTTCTTGTTAAGAACAGACCATGCTGCTTTGAAATGGCTGTTTAAGAATCCTGAAGGGCAGGTAGCTAGATGGATTGAACGATTACAAGAATTTGACTTCGACACAGAACATCGAGCTGGGGCAATCCATCGGAATGCCGACGCACTTTCCAGAAGACCTTGCGCTAAGGACTGTAAGCATTGTTCCCGAGCTGAAGAGAAAGAAGTGAAACTCCTAAGAACAACTGTGGTTAATGATAGTTGGCAACCCGAAGATCTTGCAAATGACCAAACCAGTGACCCAGAATTAGGTTTAGTAATTAACTGGAAAAACACAGGCCAAAGACCAACGTGGGAAGAAGTTTGCAGATATTCGCCGAACGTAAAGTCGTACTGGGCCCGTGGAATTCCTTGGTAATAGATAACGGACTACTTCGCCGTGTGATCGAGAGACCGGAGGGACAAGAAGAGAGAAGACAGATCGTCATTCCAAAGAAGAGGGTCCCAGAAGTCTTGGAGGAAGTTCACAATGGAACCAGCGGAGGACATCTTGGTGTTACCAAGACACTTGGCAAGCTGCGTGAACGGTTCTACTGGGTGAACTGCAAAGAAGATGTGAGGGCCTGGTGTAAGAAATGTGACATTTGCGCAGCCATTAATGGGCCACAAAAGCGTGGTAAAGCCCCTATGCGCCAGTACAATGTTGGTAGTCCCTTCGAACGAATAGCGATCGACGTGGCTGGTCCTTTCCCGGAGACGAACGATGGCAACAAATACATTGTGGTAGTAATGGATTACTTCAGCAAATGGGTCGAGGCCTACGC